AATTCAGAAGACCCAAGAGTTCGGCTGAGGACAAAGAGGGCTAACCAATCACTGAGATTCAAGAACAGAGGAACAAACTGGTAGAATAGTTCTAGGAACTCTTGAATAGACTAGCTCCACTGAAGCTACCAGACGCCAAAGCAGCACCTACAGACCTTCCGATTCGGCAGACATCCAGCTTCTAGATCATCTGGTTGGATTCCCTTTCTTCTCGTGGTCGACTGGATCATGAGGACCTACACATATCAAAAGAAACATGAAATACAATTGACAGATTGGACGATTTGAACTTCGCACATGACATGAACCTTCTATTCAATACACACGAACAACTACAGATAAAAAACCAATGCAATGGCAACCTCTGCTTCAGTATGCTTCAACATACACAAGAAAAAAAACAAGATCCTCAAATAAAACACAGAGAACACCAACACAATTACATTTGATAGAAAAGCTGTGGAAGATGTGAGTCTTTCATGAGCGTGTAAAGCATCATCGATGGACAAGGAAGGTCCCATGCAGATGTAAATGCAAGAATTAGCAAAACGATAACGGCATTCCGACAACTGAACAACACATGGAAATCGAAACAACTGTCCGCAAACCAACATCGAAGCCAGAATCCTCGATACGAGCAACAAGACAGTTCTACAGTACGGGGCTGAATTTTGGGGAACTTTTATAACCATTGTCGAAAAGGTACAAGTATAAGATACTAAATGTCCATTGACCGAATACCTTCATCACCAGCTTGCTGTGGAAGAGAACAAACCAACTTCGAGATTAAGAGGATAAGACATACGTTACGGAAAACATCAAACTGCATCACGAGGCAAGCGCTAACTTGGAATTCTAAGGAAAAATGGTAGAGAGGAAGACGCAAGAATATATGGCGCCCGGAATTGAGGGCAGACATGAAAAGGATGAATAGTAACCGGAAAGAACTGGAAAGGATCGCCCAGGTTAGATTTGGTTGGAGAATACCTGAGTGCAGCCTATGCTCTTCCATGAGAGGTGACAGGAATAAGAAAGCAATTTAGAGCATAGTCAGAGTCCAGGGAAGTGCTTCAGAGCGAGTTGTACGCAACAAAAACAGGGAGGCTGAACATAACGTGATCACTTTGAGTCCACATTTTGGGTGGAAAGAGATGATGACTGCACCGTTAGTTAGTGATAGCCAGGAACAAGTTGCAGTCTGCGCAGTTTCAGTAGACGGTCGCCACTACTTGATCTACCACCAGCAAGTTCTTGTTTGCTGCCCGTACGACTTCTCCTAGTGCCACGTTGCCCAGTTTGTAGGTTTTTCATGGTGGTAGGTACCCTCTATTCTATTGACAGAATAAAAGAAATTAGTAGTGGATAGGTTCTTATTTTCTCATGGGTGGCACACAGTCGAGCGCGAGGCTACCTGTTCAAACACACAAAGATTTTGACATTCAATATAAGAAAATAAGAAATATGATCCTACACAAAATAAGAAAGTGAACAAATACTCGGACTCTGTTGTTTCGATATATATTTAGATGTGTGGAGGTATGTTCTGAGTTCGTAATTAGTGCTGCTATGATGATAAACTTAATCCTAAAATTGTGGATTCGTCGTGATATATCTATATAATCTGTGAGATATTACATGGTAGTCTCATCATTGACAAACCTGACTCATATCGCAGGAATTAGCAGTATGACGTCTGGCGCTCTTGGAGAATATCTATATTCCCAGTTACCTCATATTCAGCTTTGTGAATTGTGTGGTTAAGGCTAATACCATTACAGATGTTTAGATGGTAGTTGGAGGTAGTCAACAGGAAACCTTGGACCCAGGTTTCGTGCTACTTGGCACTCGTCAGCAAGGTGTACCTGTAATCTTGAGGAAACTGGTGCTCCCTGGCGGATTCGATCTCGTGTCACCCAGCTTCACAGTCAGAGACGTTACCACTGAGCTATCCGAGCCGTGACTAACCTCCTGTAGGACTGAGATGTAATCACAATTGATTGATCACTGGGTGGTGATCAATGTCATGCTTGTCTAGTCCTTATTACAGATGTTTAAGGTCAGCTCTTATCTAATCAACCCCAAGTTGTTACAGGTTTTCATTATCTGTCGAATTACTGGTGGTAAAAATCATCCTTATTGGCATCTGAACTACAATCTATCAATGGGTAAGCGGAAATAACGTCAAGACATCGTTTTTCGCACCGTTTTCCTTCTGCCTGGGTTGAGCTTTCTAATCTAGCAACAGTCCGTGACAGTTAGCTGGGGGTGAAGTCCCTTGGCGCTCTTGAAGCTCTAACACTTACTGCTACGCCAACTACAGAGAAACCAGATAAAGATGTCATTACGTACGGGGATAAATATACGCGAATGAAGCCCTTAGCTGCGGTAGATGGAGAGAAAATATTTGGCACTTCATTAGAGTCTTGAATACGGGTCTTAGAAAGACAACAGATATTGATTTTGAGATATAGATACTCTTCTCCTTGTTCGATCTACATTGGTGTGCAAACATCGAATTAAGCCTATTGGAATGGGATATATGGTTTCGTTTATTCCGGTTCGTTCGTAACACGCCCACTACTGACCACTAGGTTACTTGACATCATTTCAATAGGACAGGATTTCCACTATAGGTGACCTGCTACATGAATTGAAAAATAGAGGCATACACAAATGATAGTTAAAGGGAACAGATGAATGATCCTATGTAAAATATAAATTATTGTTACCAAATATTTATAAATACAGTTTGTGACGGTGTGAATTAAAACAAGAGTATATTTTCAGTTCTGGTTAGATGAATTGCTTATCGACCGAGATACTACCCGAGTGTCCAAGCAGAAGCAGATGGTTTTGTTAGGAGGCTAATACCGGAGTTTTCGAACAAGAGCCATAATGCAAAACGTAACGGAACAACGTTAAGTGATGAGGTCACCTGGTAGCCGATGGTCAAGAATAAATTCATATAGATAAATCCATCGACAAGCATTCACCAATGAAGTTCACTAGTTTAGACTGGGGGAAGAAAAATGACTCCAAATAACAAATTTTGTTGTTCACGGAGAGCTAAAATTAGTAATATACACAAGTCCATTATAATAAATTTTCTATTCTCATATCGGTGTTTTGAACATATTGATATTATTCATTGTTAGTTTAACAAGCCACTGCTTACGCGAATGCAAACTGGTCGTTAAAAATCATGAAATAAATTCTTGTCTGTGTACAGAAAAATGTTTACTGTTACTGGACAAAAATGATGTAGTGACTCACGTTTATCACGAGAACACGACTGGTTTAATAAAAACAATTATTATAACCAACTGTACCAGTGTTTGTTTTAATGTGCTTTTGTTTAACTGTGCTAATTATAGCCATTTTGTGCTTCCATTACCTTCTATCATTGTTCCGCGGTTTTTGGTACTGTTCGCACGTACTCCTGTCTTCTGCTTTCACTTGTACCATTTCTTGGCACGATCTCGGTATTCGTTCAATACCACGAGATCGCCAACGAAATAAATCTGGTTACGTTCGATCCTCGCCTTCTGATTTATCTGGCACGTGTTTCTTGGTAGCGGTGTTCACAGTTAATCTCAACTCGACGCCACGCTACAATTGATGAGCCCGACGTGATCCAATTGTAGCGTGGCGTCGAGTTGAGATTAACTGTGAACACCGCTACCAAGAAACACGTGCCAGATAAATCAGAAGGCGAGGATCGAACGTAACCAGATTTATTTCGTTGGCGATCTCGTGGTATTGAACGAATACCGAGATCGTGCCAAGAAATGGTACAAGTGAAAGCAGAAGACAGGAGTACGTGCGAACAGTACCAAAAACCGCGGAACAATGATAGAAGGTAATGGAAGCACAAAATGGCTATAATTAGCACAGTTAAACAAAAGCACATTAAAACAAACACTGGTACAGTTGGTTATAATAATTGTTTTTATTAAACCAGTCGTGTTCTCGTGATAAACGTGAGTCACTACAATGAAACGCTTTACACCAGATCAAAGTGCTGCGGTGGACTGGGAAATCCCATCTAGTCTGGGAAACTATCTTAGTGGTATTTAGGTACGATGGATTTGTTGCTTGTACATTCTTGGCCAGCAAAGTTTGAAAATCTTAATAATGACAAGAGTTGGCATTGGGGTGTGAGGCTTACTAGCCACTCAGTACTAGCATCTCTCCAGTGATAATCGAGGGATCTATGTGAGAACTGCCGATCACAACTCGGGGCATTCACGTGAGACATGTGTCTTGTTCTGGATGGTTAGGTTCATAGTCTCACATTCGTCTACTTATGCCCAATACCACGGTCCATATTTTTCCCAAATTTCAGAAGATGCCGTGTTTAATTGGCTGGTTTAGGGTTTAGTGTAACACAAAGTTTCAAAGAGATGAACTTGGAAACTGTTAATTAGGTTAAAAATAAAAGTATAAGAATGGGCAAGTTTAATATCTATCAAGAGTTTCTCAGTAGACTGACCTAACTCCACACATAAATAGACCAAATCGCCTCTGCCCGTTTTACCAAGATAATACGCTGTTAGACAGTCAAGAATTAACAATTTGATACCAAAATGCTAAATAATAAGGGGTTAATTGGAGTATATGCTTCAAATACAAACTGGCAACAGTGGAAAAACCAGAACACAGAGTACAGGGTTTGCAGGTTTACAGGAAATCCTCAATAAGTAGTGTGACAAATGAACTATTCTGAAACAGTCATTAACTGAAAATTCATTGGCTGGAACTTTAGAACTATCAAACAACACTTAATTTTGAGTGTCACGATTATATTTCACATAACCGTTGTATGAATACTTTCCTCAAATCTGTAGTTTTAGATTAAATTTTTCAGTTCGCGAATACGAAAATTTCTAAACTCCAAAAAATCCCTAGCTGTCAGATAAATATTTATACGAGCATACCTAAATATAGAGGCATCTACTGTTTATTTGTTTGAACCTATTGGTGTGCTTTTCAAATGTTTTATACGTCTTCGCGGTATGAGCTCGGAATCGGACGATTGTAATGATTATTTTTTTAAGAACTTGATACACAATTCATAGATGCATCGTTCATGAAAACTTCGGGATATTCGAAAACGATTCCGCAGCCTGAGAGGTAAAACATGTCTCTCAGTTTGCCATAAACATGATGTTTTCCTTAGGATAAAAAGCGATGTGATTTATTGTCGTATATGCTTGGGGTCCAGTGACTTTGAGGAACTGATAAGCCCTTGCTATTGTGCAGGTAATAAAATAAATATCTTTTCTTCATTTCACGAAGGTAATAGGAACAATTGGAATTGTTCATCAACAGTGTTTAGAGAAGTGGTTAAACTTGTCTCGATCGAAAGCCTGTGAAATTTGCGGTTTCACTTTTGAAGTTTTAAAACATTATCCCCACTTTTGTAAGGTCTGTTTCTTATTTAACTATGTCGATGAATTTTCACTTACAATGTGTTTATTTCATAGAATACAATATATTTCCACAGTCCAAGTGTACCATATATTCGGCTTACTATCTCTATTTAAAACACTAAAAGGCAATATTTGACATGTCAGAAGGGTAAAGTCTGATTGTTAGATGGGTTTCATATGTTTTTACAGTTGAAAAGCGTCGGATATTACTTCACTTACTAGTTCCAATAATTCAGTCCATAAACTCTGCTGCTAAAGCAGTCATTACTGTCCGGTTTGTCGGTACTACCCAAAAGTCGGTCTTGTATAATCAACATATAGCTCAGATTACCTGATATACGTTGTGAACTCCCTTTTACATCGTGAGAAATATGTTTTATTTAAGTGGAAATTAGTATTGTTTGCTTGCAAAAATTGTTCCTGGGCACATTTGTATCTCCAGTTACGAGTAGAAATCATCACATGTAGAGCACTACCCAATTACTCGGTGAATCACAAAATGTTTTTCCATCTTGAAAACAGCTTTTTTTGCGGACCTCGAAAACTGAATCATAATAGAGTTTGGTCTTTAGTTTTTATTTGAAGGTGTCCATTTTATTATTTTAGTAAGAATGGTTTTGTTTAAAAATGCAGTCTATCAACTGCACCATTGATGCTATTAATGAACATTCGGTAATGCATTTATTAAAACTGACATTCATAGATTGATCCTCAAGGTACTGTAGTAGATACGGATAGACCACTGTGTGAAGAATAAAAAAACAGTTAAATGTACTGTATACAAATTATGAACAGAACGAGTATCGATCTAAAAATCGTTCACTACTTATATAACCGTTGTATTATTTTATGATAACTAGAACAAGTACTAAGAGAAGGCATTTAAAAGTCATGGAGCCTTATTCTTGCCTGAGGACAGTTGAACAATATCTGTAGACGTTGTATAGTCAAAATACTCACAATGTTGTGACGTTTGAATGAACTTATGATTCCCTTGTACTTGTTGAATGCTTGGTTTCGAATTTTAAATACAGTACATTCGTTTGTGGTTATCTAGTATTTCTTGATCTGATTACGTTATTTCTGAGATTCTAAGTTCATACTATAATCCAAATACCCCTAATCATTCTAAATGTACGTGACATAAGTCATTTATTGTTATTGGTTTGGAACAATTATGTATTCCTTCACACAATGGTGCTACATTTTAAAACAAAATTTGCATAATGTAGATACGAAGCCCAATTTGCTTATTCACTTGATATCAAAACACTAGCTGTTTTTTGTTTAACAACGACGTATTATGGTAATTCTACAAGGTAAAACTATCAAATGAAAATGAAGAACTCATCTATGAAAGTTTTCTTTATTATCATTAGTTCATTTAAAGAACACTAAAAAGATAATTTTCAACTATCTATTTCAACTTCTCGTTTTTTTAAAACCTGGAGAAAGTTGTAAGCATTTATTGCAGCTTTCAATCTATTAAAGGAAAATATTTAGAGTGACTCAAAAGAGTATTCAGTAATCGCTACTTGAAATAGTGGATATTAAGAAGAACCTGAATATAAAGAGCAATTTAGTTGTTATTTGGTCTTAAAATCGTCTTATTTTTGATCCTCAAAGTATTAAGTTAAGTTGCGTTATGAAATGCATTCCTTCTCATAGAAGAGAATAAGAAATTATTATGGCAAAACTCTATTGTTTGTTTTTACATTCTTATATTGAATATTTAAATAGTGTTTTTTGGATTCTGTGAGCTTGAAAATTACTAGATATATGATGGTTGTAGTTATAGAGATACAAGAGTAAATGCCGCTACACAGCCAGGTCAACAACAACGTCTGAACTGTCTATCTAAACAACAAGAGTTAAAGTCTAATGACTGATTTCTGGAATTAAAGATGTGTTGGTTATTCAAGCTTTTATGTTATCTTCTAATTTCCTAAACTTTTCACTCAGGAAACAATATGATCCTTAGAATACTGAATAAAAGGAGTCCATTGTTAACTTAATGTACAAAATGGTCTGTTTATATGGGGTTCATTATGTCTAAGAAATGCTTTAGATAGACCGTTATAATTAACTTAGTGTCTCTCAATTTGTTTGGAAATAAAACTCATTATTGTCATTAAAAAACTAAGCAATACAGATTTTATTCATCTTTGTTAAATTAGTGGTTATGGATGGGAGGGAAAGGAGATGGGATACATCGTCGCAGATATTTATGGACAGATTTAATTTGCCTGCTAATAATGGTACCTTTGCTCACATTGTGCGCATGGTTGGCGATTTCTTCGAATCAGGATGAAAAAAGTGCTAATTCAAGAAGGTTTCCATGGCAATCCTTTTTTCTTGGATTATTATGCAGCCTTCTTCTTTTAGTATTTAATATTTGGTTAATGGTGAGTGATCGTGATCAACGAAATTCGAATAACATAAGACAAAGTGATCTAAACTAATTTGTTTGATCAAAAATATGATTGAAATTTAATGTGCGCTTTGATAGTTATACATAAAATACAATACCGCAAAACCACTAAATCAATGTCTTTGAAAGTTTCTCATCTTTTTCAAAACCCCTTTGGATTCTGTAGAACGTAAAGTCTGTAAAGTTCTTATTGGTATTCTCTAAAAGCTAAAGATAAATCTGTAAGATGCACGAAAGTGTTGTTGTGCTGCTTTAAAGCTTTTTGAAGCTTCGAGGTCATTGCTTCAATGTGTTTTTGGGTTCATAAACCCCAAGTAAGTACTGAATTAATTTGTCCTGAAAAGCAATCAACGGTCAATTTAAAACAATTTTACTGAAAGTCGCTGACTTTTCATATCAGATTTTTGTTGGTTACTAACAAACATGAATTTTATAGTTCATTAGGATATCAGAAAAGGATGAGTAGATATTTATTCGGCTTAAAAACTGTCAGAACATGTATAAATTCTTCACAGGGATTAAATACTACCCAAAAATAATTTTAGTGATATTTGGAAATAGCTAGAGAAGTCGATATTCAACTCTTCTGTCTTCATAAATCTATCACGTTTAGAAAATAGTCTCAATGATTTTTAATAACCATTTCTAATGTGACTGACTAAACTGCCGTTGGAAACATTCAACAGAAGTTTAATTTTGTTGAAAGTTTTGATCAAAATGAAATAGCTTTTAGGTTGGCTGTTATAGAAATTTATTTCAAAACTGTTCTAACTACGGTTCAAGATAAAAAAAAAACTACTAGCACAAGTTAAGTAACATAAAACAGTTTTTTGCCCCAACTATTTCTCGAATAATGTATTAAAGGGTTCATCGAGTGTTATTTTTCGAACTTTGGAGATTCGTTAGGAAGTCTGTATTCCTTTTCGTATAATCAAGTAAACACTTGTGTTTTCCATTTATAAATCATTTAGGTATAAGTATGTTCCTGTGCTTTTAATGATATTTTTTATTTGAAGTACTTCCTGTTAACTTCATAAATCATTAAGGTACATATGTTAAACAAACTTGAATTTCCTAGAAACATACTTTAAAATTTTTTAAGTAGCATTAGTGACTTCTCTTGTGTTTGCCACACATGCTTTATCAACTTGTGAATATTTGTAATTTATTAGGAAACTAAAAAGTTATTTTTATAAAATACAAAACTTCTAGTTTTCTCTTCGATATCATCATCAATCATGGAAACTTTGGCGTAAAGAACAGACTTATATTGTCTTATCAGAAACTGTTAAAAGAAAAAAGGTGATGAACATAAAAGGTGATTCACAAAATCCAAATTTAATTATTCAGAATAATAAACAAGAACAAAATCAACAATTAAGGAGACTAGATATGCCTGAGTCAAATGAAACAAGTATGAAACCAAACAAGGTAAGTCGTATAAAATTAGTTTATTTGAAAATAGCATAAATGAGTATTTTCGATTTTATTTGCTTCTATAAAAACGCTTTTCAGTTTTTACAAGAATCGTTACATTAATTCATACACCTAATTAGGTAATTTACTAGATCTTCGAAACATGTCTGTAAGTTCAGTTTTGAGTACTTTTTTGATTAGCTTATGATTAATCATAGTACACTAAACACCCATTAACTATCAGGGATATGACTCATTTTTTCATGAACCCACAGTTGGGTGGTTTGACGACAGAAAAAATTATACCAGATTTCTTATATGAATTTGCTAGGCTTGAGGATTTTATTGTGAATAGTTTAGATGTGTTAGTCTATCATTATTCAAGTGAAGCATAAACCATCTAGTTAGACAACTAGTTTTAGTACTACTCTTTTTTTCTGAAACTTCAATAAAGCTTACTGGTAGAGACTTGGATTACAAAGTGAATCGTATAATGACGGCCTGTACAAAGTTACTAGTATATAGGTCAGTCAAACTTTTACAAAAGCTTGGTAAGCATAAAGAATGATAAAGTTCATTTAAGCGATCAATTAACAGTTACGGGTTAATAACTTTTGTGATCTCGATAAAACTTTTTATCATTTACTTTACTTATAAGTAAAGTGTCATGGTGCGTACAATATGTCCTGTTTATTTCATATCAAGAAATCATCAAATATAGTCTGAAATGACTCTCTTTATGGTATTTTTATAAAGTTTCATAAATAAGTATCATAGTAGAATTAGCAAAATACTTTTAATGTAACTTAATCATTACATGGAAAATTGGATTAAACAATAATAACTAATCATCGTACACAGAATCTTGATTATAGCTAATTCAATCCGAATGATACTATGTTCAATTGAGAGACTGTAGTTAGATCATAATGAAGGGTCGAAAACTAGAACGCAACAATAATCCAAGTGATTTCCTGGTTAATATCAATCGATGATGAATAGTTCAATTTGATTTTCATCAAAAGAATTGTGATCAGATGTAATAAATTCTATTTATTTGAACTGCTATCCTAAAAGCGCATCAAACTGGTAACGTAAAAACTTATATTTCTAAAGTAACCGGTTCCCTTTCACCATTAAACTATCCAGAGATGATTAAACAAGATAACGAATTCATAATTGACTGAGAAAGAAATCGTAGAATCTGTCATAAAAAAATAAATGATTTATAGTTTACAATTCATAGTCTAACTGTTAAATCTTCCTTGAGTGTTTTCTATCCACTGCTTTATGGGTTTAGCCTAAGGAAAACATAGTAAATACAATTTTATGTTAACAATAATAGTAAAAAAATATGTGTGTCCAAAATACTCGGTAAACATGAGTCTAAAATAAATACACTAAATTCAGTAAGTGTTAACAGTGTGACCACAAAAAGTATAGGACTCGAATTATTCACTTATTTTACTAAATAAGTGTCATGTAGAGCCGAACATTAAGGCGCAACTAACGATAAATTTAAATTCCTTGACCTTTTACTAATTTCGTTATTTGTTATTATTATTAAGAAAGAAGTTAGTTATTTAAACTTCATTGGATTTGAAACGAAACAGTTGTATTTTGCCTAATGTACATCATCATAACACTTTGGACTTTGTATGTTACCACAGCAAACGTCTCTGTATTCCTTTTTTAGTAGGTGCTATTTTACTTCCATCCATTAAATCATGTGATTCTCTATGTCTTTATTTAAATAGATTTAACTACTGAAGATTAGTAGAGAAATAAGTCAGGTAAACCGTATTTAATTATAGAATAATCGTATAATGTCAAGAAATTATAAAAGTAAGCCTATATATAGATTTTCTAGATTAATTTGAAACACTCGGCAATTATTAGAATGAGCTTCAATACCACAAACCTAATATTAACCGGTGCATTCGGTTTTATCAGCTTAAAGGATTCGACCAAGAAGAAATTTATAGTATCAGATAAATCATCATTCGTTGATAATATTACATGTATAATTAAATATAAATTTGAAAAATATGAACATAGCAAGTGATAAAATTTTGTTTTGCATATTGTGGGTATAGAGAATTATGTGTTTGTTAACACGTCCAATAAAAATGGGGATAATATAATATTGTAAGCACAATAAAATTATAAATGTTTAACCTACGTAGAACTGCGACCGATGAAATAATTAAATGATAAGTATAATCGATATATATTTGATCACATTTAATATGAATAAAGATGGTGGATGATGTTATGATATATTTTTACTAAGTTAATTTATGTTAGTCTGACAGTGTCTAATAAGGTGTACATTGTTGCGTAATTAAAAATTGGTTAGACAAGTAGGTTTTTACTAACTTAATTTAGAATGTGTAATAGTGATAGCTTCCGTTATCAATCTATCATTTAGCAATTAACTGGATCGGAGTAATGTTTATTAGGCTTCTCTTTTTTCGCATAGTTGAAAAAGTGTATTTTTCCTACAATATTAACTAGACTCTTAGAGAGGAAAAATGTATTTGTAAAATCTCAGCGAATGAGTTTTGAAGTAAATCCAACGTTTCGCCTGGGAATCTGGTCAAAGCTTTTTTCAAGGAAATATATATATATATATATATATATATATATATATATTCGATAATTTTGATGTTTGATTATATTTCCTTGAAAAGCTTGGACGAGATTGCTAAGCGAAACGTTGGATTTACTTCAAATTCTTTCGCTGAGATTTTACAAATACATTTTTCCTCTTTAATGTCTCACATTAACCCGGCGCTCAAATACTGTGAAACTATTCGATCAAATTTAGACGAAAGTTCTTATTTAGACTCTTATATAATAAAGTTTTAACAACGTGACCACTGAATGGATGAATTATCAGAAAATTATTTCGTTACATCTTTGGTTAGGGGTCAGTTATTATCAATTGTTTAATGCATTTAGTCATTTGCTAAAAGTGGTATTGAATGACAAAACACTATGTCACAAAATGATTAATGTTGGAAGTCTGAGCAACTTAATTCGAAATCACTTGTTCAAATGTGATGAGCTTACTTTGAAACTTAATGGTCCCAAGTTCAATACATGGTGGGATTGTGAGCATGCATCGGTGAGCGATCACATACTACAAAATAACAATCCAGTGTTCTCTAATTTTTAGTGATCCTTTAACGTATGTCAATTTATGACAAAAATCAACTTGTAACAAATTAGAGCTAATGTATTTCCTTTAGAAAACTAATAACAATAAATCTTTCCTTCTCAAGAGTGAAATTAGAGTGGTCTCATATGAATTATATATTACTTTGTTCCCATTGTAGGCACATGCTCCTATTTGTCTAAAGAAGTTTATTATATATCTATAATTTTTCGAAATGCAATAACGAAAACTTTAACTTAATTTGAATACTTGATAAATCATTGTTTTATGAGTTTATCTATTAGCATTTGAAGGTATTGACTATTTTATTCTTTTTTCATACACATAGTTCCCTTTATCATTTTGAAAAGAGCAAGAACAAAGATTCTAGTAGAAAAGCATGAACCTACAAAATAAGATGAATTCATACTTTATTCTTGATATATTCTGGAAGTAAAGTTAGAAAATTACTTTTATTCCTATTCGCTTTAATTATTTTAACATTTATTTGAAAAGTCTAGTTTACATAATTTATACATGTAAGAGCGGGTTTGCAACCAGTTTGAATTAAATGACAACGGAATAACTGGACCTTTGATTCTACTTGAAGTAATGTCTATAAATTTCTAACTTTTGGATAAATATATATGAAAATATTTTTTCAAATTTATTTTTGCAAAGTAAACTTCCATTCCTTCAGCTTTAAGTTTGAAGAGTATAATTATTTTGGAGATAACATTGGTATTAGTTTACCATTGTTTCACGGATGATCTGTCATGGTTACTACATTACGCTTTAAAGTAATTTTAGTGACTTATAAAAGTAATTTATGTGCTTAGTTCTTTATCGACATTGTGCATAAGGCATTTTTAACACTTTCACATAGTCATTTATAAGGCTTCTACCTAATTTCTTCTAGCACTTAAATTAAAGTGGTTAAAACACACCGACTGCAAATATTTCTCAGAATTTCAAAATTAATTTTTTACACTGTCGTTCAACGTCGTGCAGATCGATTCCTCAGTTCACTTAATTATGGATTTAGCCAACTTTTGTTCTAATCAAGTCGCTTTATTATTTAAGCCTATAAATGATATTAAATAATTTCGTTATAGATATGCATTTGTACACAGCACAATGTTTTATTATATTTCGTGAACTAATGTTATTACTGTACAGTGTGTTATTAAAGGAAGATTGTAATGATTTTCACCCTTTTACTTCTTGAACAAATAATTTATATTCGTAAACTACGGAACAAACTGGTAGATTAGTGAAAGAACAACTGGTCTTTTATTTTCATTTGATGATCATACAAGTATAAGAAAGTATTTGCATACAAACCATTAAAAGACTCATATGTATAAGACAGACTTAAATACTTTTTATCATTTTCATCAAGTGTTAACATTTATTAAAAAGTTATTACTATTTGCAAGGGTTTTAATTGATGGATACTGGTTCCCAGTCTCATCATTAACATCAACATTGGGGTGTGAATATACTTACAGTTGATGAGTTATAAGTAAAATTAAACAGACACGGGTAACTAGTATCAAAAATATGTAGTCCAACTGAGATGATTTTAATATTTTAGAGATATGTGTACGTTTTGTTCATTTGCTTAGTTTAAATATCATCCAAAATGATTTCATTTTTCTGTTTCGTTATATGAAAATTTATTGACTTACTGATTCGTTGGTATAACGTTTGGACTATTGGATTTTCCTCTCCAATTTTAACTAGATATTAAAAAGTACATCAATTTTACGTCGGCAAAAAGAATAAAGGCACTATATTAATGTGAAGTGAGAATCATTACAGGCAGATGGCATACTATACTGATTATTAGAACGTATGTAAAATAATTCAAGTCCCATATAATCACGACTAAACTTTATTTCTTCTCTTGCGTTTATTATGTACTGGGCTATTTCTTGTCTTATGGTTTCAAAATAGCGCTCCATATAACATACTAATTTGGAGAAATAGTTGTATTTTATGTATGTGTTTTAGTAAACAGTTGATAACGGGTAGTTGTCACAATTGATTGATCACTGAGTGGTGATCAATGTCATGTGTGTCAAGTCTTTATTAGTGCAGATATAATGCAATCGACCAAGTTGCAATGTGGCCACTAGTCTAGGTGACTCGACATTGCGTGCACTATATTGAGATTAGTTGGTGGTTGGAGGTAGTCAACAGGAAACCTTGGGCCCGGGTTTCTTGCTACTTGGCGCTCGTCACTGGAAACCCGGGTCCAGGGTTTCCTGTTGACTACCTCCAACCACCATCTAACGGGTAGTTGTATCAGAATAATCATATAATCTAATAGCGTAGTTTTTCAGTGTCACGATATTTATTAAAAATATCCATTTAAAGTATCCACAAATTTCAGTCACTGTCTAAATACAGTGAAATAGTAAGGAATAAAATGACAAGGTTTCAAAATTGTGTAATGATTGAGATATAACTATGGACAATGGCCTATGTTGGGAACACCATATGACAAATAGTATTATTTTACTATGAGCTGTATCAAATGCCTAAATTAATGGGCCATTAGAATCAGAAACAATGATCGGACGTCACTCTTTTCTCCTATGCAATGGTTTGAAGATTTTTGAACTTTGTATTAAAATCTGGTTGACGATTGAAAGCTAATTAATTATTTTCATACTTTAATATATGTATGTAAATTGTTTTTGTAAAATCTGCAGACCATAGATGATTCTGAACTAGCAATTAATACAATACGGCAACAATGTTTGAACACTGAAAGCTATTCTGGACCTATATGGAATATGAAGTCAGAAATTTGTGATGAAATAACTAATACTGGAGGGAATGATACACCAATGATACATAACAAGTTAAAAACATTATCAGCTGAAGAGGTAACGATCAAGGAAGATAATTATACTGAACATGTTGTGCAGACAGAACCAATGTCATTTAGAAGTTCTTTATCTGTTTTTATAGTACCAACAGAATCCTGTGCAAACGATACGCTAAATGAAGCAACAAACTGACAGGAAGTATATACACATTTAAAAAAAAATTATCTCACAAAAAAGGTGGCATTCCTTATTTTTTATCAACTAGATTGTATAGTAATAACAAACACCAAGAAAGACTTTACACTATGTTCAGTCCTATGATAAAGATTTCTGCTTCATTTTTATAACTGACTTAATTTATATTTATTATTTGTGATTCAGATTTCTGTATAAATCTTCTAGATTGATAGCTGGGAGAAAATTTAGTATTTTCCTAATCATTGTATAACTTCACTCTCAATTTTAACGATTTTGTTCAATTACTAAGAAAGGTAACCACTAATGGATGACTGATTTTGATTATAACTAAGCGACAATAAGGAAAATTGATAAAGATAAAAGTTAACATTGATTGTGTTGTTGCTCGTATTGCTTTCCGATAAACAAAAGCTTATGTAATGACAATCCAAATAAAACGTAACCAGTCTTTCAGCCATAAAAACAATTAATTTTGATAGCCAATGTACAACTGAGTAGATGTTATCATTTGGAAATTTTGCAATATTTTCTTTAAATAAAAAAGAGTAACAAGCGTAACCTGATTTCTAAATGGTTAGCTAATATCTTACAACCCTATAAAAATCATATCAATAGATACAACCCTCTTGTTTCCTTTACTTTGTCGACTCAATTGAAAATATTAATTTAAATGGTAGGAAAATTATCTTATTGGATGTCATTTCTCTTTTTACAAATGTTTCTCTCACAGAAACTATATGTTTTTTGTGTGACTATATTGAAAATAATAATATCCCAAAACATTATTCAAAAGAGCTACTTCTACGATATACTCTCAACGTGCAATTTAGATTTAATGATGATTTTTATAGACAAACAGATGTAGTTGCAATGGATTCTCGATTGGGTCCCCTCTCGGCTGATTGTTTCATTGCCAATCTTGAAAATACGGTACTTTGACCAATAAATGAGGAGTTTCAATTATATTAGAGATATATGAACGATACTTTCATTATTTGTGAAGATATGGACCTCAATACAATTTTAAATGGTTTCAATAATTGTCACCCCTCAATTCAGTTCACTTTGGAAACAGTGGAAAACAAGGAATTTCATTTTCTTGGTATCCGATTAAAAAGGAGGCCAGATGGTTTTCTACAGAGATCTATATATAGAAGACCAATCTGAAATGGGCAGTACATAAATTTTCATAGCTGGGTCCCACTGAGTAAAAAGAGGGACCTTATTCACTCTTTATCCTCAAGGATCAGAAGAATATGTTCTACTGACACAATTGATGAGGAACTACTCCAACTTCGACAGACTCTCATTAGAAATGGTTATCCACCTAGATTTGGCGATAGTAACTTAACAACTAAACATCATCCGAAAAAAGTACCAGCAGTACAAATGAAAACTGTTTTTGTGAATATGGAATTCAATGGAGATACGGCTGCTGAAATCATAAATAAACGGATTTCAAAATCCTTTAATAAAACATTCAACTCAACTAAGCTCCGAATTATTTTCTCAAGCCGGCCTTCCATTCACGGATGTATTAAGGATAAACTCTCGCTTTGGGCCACATCAATGTGATTCTATAAATTTACGTGTACATGTGGAGCAGCTTACACAGATCAGCTGATAATTATCTGACCTGTAAATTATTTTCATCCTTAGATTCTTTTCTTACCCCTTGATTATTGCGTTACCTCATTTGATAACAAGAGTTTCGAATCACTTTATGATGTAATCTTTTCTATCCTATTATGAACATATATTTTCCATATAACTATAAATACGAATGTACAACTTAAGTAAATTATTTCGTCGAAAAGAAAACCTTCTTCGCTGAATTCTCTTTATTTTTACTCAATAACATGTAAAATTTAAAAAAATAACAAGTTTTACTCTTTTATTTAAAAAAAATAAGGAAATTGTTGGATAGATGAAAAGTTTCAATAGAAGTTAATACATAAACTAATCAGAAAGAATTTCTGACACTACAGTTCCCAAATGTTATAAAATCATTTTGGAATTTTCTGTATTTAATTCCATAAAATTCTGCTCTCTTCTTTTCGATTACTTGTTATCGTTGAGTATTTGCAGTGTAACACGTTTATTAATCCAGTGTGCTTTCCTACGAGTACTGCTGAAGTAATAATAATGGACCAATGATGTAAAAGATTTCTATATCATCACTTATTTTAAAACATATGAAGTGGTTTCATTTTAAAAACTATAAAGTGTTATGAAGTATGAGAAAAAGATCTGATTCAATAGAAGATCAGGATTTCTAGAGAGTTGTTAAGCAAGAACCCATACTTATGAAAAGATTTTATATTTGTTTCGTTATACAGTAAATCATTTACAAGATGAATAACTTTGTTAGTTTTTCTAGGGATTAAATACAATCACAAATTAGTTGAAAGGTATCTATGAACGTATAACAGCTTGGATCCATACCTGAAAATCTTATTCATCTAATTTGTGTTTTACTGTAGGTTGAAGAAAAGTATTTCGTACTGACGATCATTTCCAAAATTTCGAAATACATTTTTAGAAGCTATCATTTGATCACCAACATTATTAGTGAAAATGACCCGATGAAAAGACAGGGGATATTTCCTTGCTTAATGAGAGAAACCTTTTCATCAATTTACTTACTTACTTACGCCTGTTACTCCTCGTGAAGGAGCATAGGCCGCTCACCAGCATTCTCCATCCAACCCTGTCCTGGGCAATCCTTTCTAGCTCCGTCCAGTTGTGATTCATCGTTTTCATATCTGCTTCTATTATCCGACGCAATGTGTTCTTTGGCCTTCCTCTTTTTCGCTTCCCTTCAGGATTCCAAGTTAGGGCTTGCCTCGTGATGCAGTTCGACGATTTGCGTAATGTATGTCCTATCCATTTCCATCGTCTTTTCCTAATTTCTTCTTCAGCTGGAAGTTGGTTTGTTCTCTCCCACAGAAGGCTATTGCTGATGGTATCCGGCCAATGGATGTTGAGTATCTTGCGTAGACAGTTATTTATAAATACTTGTACTTTCTTGATTGTGGTTGTTGTAGTTCTCCAAGTTTCAGCTCCATACAGTAGAACTGCCTTGACGTTCGTATTGAAGATTCTTACTTTGATATTGGTTGAAAGTTGTTTTGAGTTCAATATGTTCTTCAATTGTAGGAAAGCGGCCCTTGCTTTGCCGATCCTCGCCTTTACGTCTGCATCGGATCCTCCTTGTTCATCGATGATGCTTCCCAGGTATGTGAAGGACTCTACATCTTCCAGAGTTTCGCCATCAAGTGTGATTGGATTGCTGTTCTCCGCTTTGAATTTGAGGACCTTAGTTTTCCCTTTGTGTATGCTGAGGCCTACTGATGCAGAGACTGCTGCTACACTGGCTGTCTTTATCTGCATCTGTTCGTGCGTACGTGATAGGAGGGCTAGGTCATCTGCGAAGTCCAAATCTTCTAATTGGTTCTGAGCTGTCCATTGTATTCCGTGTTTTCCCTCAGATGTCGAGGTCTTCATAATCCAGTCGACCACCAGAAGAAAGAGGAAGGGAGAGAGTAAACAGCCTTGTCTGACTCCGGTCCTTACTTGGAATGCATCTGTCAGCTGTCCTCCATGCACTACTTTGCACTGTAGTCCGTCGTATGAGTTCCGGATAATATTGACAATCTTCTCAGGAACTCCGTAGTGTCGAAGAAGTTTCCATAATGTCCTCCTATCTACACTGTCGAATGCCTTTTCATAATCAATGAAGTTGATGTATAGTGATGAGTTCCACTCAACTGATTGTTCGACGATGATCCGTAGTGTTGCAATTTGGTCTGTGCACGACCGATCCTTACGGAATCCAGCTTGTTGATCTCGAAGTTGGGCGTCTACTGCATCCTTCATCCGGTTCAGCAACAATCTGTTGAAGACTTTCCCTGGTATTGACAGTAGTGTTATGCCTCTGTAGTTTTCACATTTGCTCAGATCTCCTTTCTTTGGAATCTTGACGAGGTGTCCTTCTTTCCAGTCCATCGACACTTGTTCCTCCTCCCAAATCTTTTTGAATAGAAGATAAAGCATGCTTGTGGTTGCTTCGATGTCTGATTTCAGTGCTTCAGCTGGTATGTTGTCGGGTCCCGCTGCTTTCCCGGTCTTGATTTGTCTGACGGCCATTCTAATTTCTTCCGTAGTTGGTGGATTGACATCTATAGGATGATCTATGTGTGCTGCTTCGATGTTCATCAAAATAAACACTAAATTGAAATATTAGAAAGATGAAGTTTCAGTATGACTTGTTTATTTCTCTATCGATGTTGATCTGTAACGACCTTCTGATTCATTCGATTCTCAAAATATATAGTTGGTTTTCAAAATATTTACTCTGACAATCACAAATGAATAATTGATTCTCTTAACTCCTTATGGTTTGAAGTGCGCCGTATACCTTCTAGAAAGTTGTCTTCTATAACATTTAGGGCTCAAAGTGAGAAGTGTGCCTGTTTTATTTGTTAAATTTAGTCTCACATACAAATATCACGGTGGCAAAGCATTCAAGATAACCTCTTGTCGACTGCTTACTTTGAGGTCACATTAATTTATGAAAATCAACATAAATAATTAACAAGGGAGCATTTGAAGTAATTTCTTCATCTGAAACCGGGTTACTAGGTTTTTCAGGTAACCTAAGGTGACGATATATATTTTGATATAACAGAAAGCGCAAAATCTTTTATCTGTTTTAAAAGTAGTTGTTGGTTATTCCAGATAATACTGCTTGCTAGTATACCTTAAGTTAACAACACATAAACAAGCGGATAAAAGTGAACAAATCCATTGCACATATTGAGATTTAAACTATCGATAAAATTCTATTACTTGATCATTCACTAGAGCTATACGATAATTTAATCTAAGATCATTCAAAGCGACTATCTTTCGCTTCAATAACTTAGTTATTGTGTCCAAATGGCCTCTGGCTCATACAATGGGGTGAGTTTAAATTCACCTGTATTGGTTGTTTAATTCTTCCAATGGAAGTCAACGCCTGTCTGAATTCAGAAGCTAGGTGGATAACACAAAGGCATTTGAAGCTAACAGTACCGGGTTCAAGTCCAAGAGTGAACATAAACACCGGGATGGAGGCACATTCAGGTGACGAGCCCCAAGTGAGACGAAACGCGTGTCTTAGATTTCCCTGGTAGCTACTACTTATCTCTGTTTAAAAAGCTTGTAACTTAATGGTAATATTGAGGCAGTCCACACAGTATACACATATTTCTAAAGAAACTGGTCGATCGCAGTCCTGAATATAAATGGGAAGATCTAAACAACCAATACAAATGAATAATCACTTTAACCGATGATAAGAGGTACTTGGAATACAAGTTATAAAATATTACCTGCACTTATGTTAGTCAGTCATTGGTTAGTTTTATTGATTTTAGGATTACAAAACATTATTAAATTATCATTTTATCAAAATGAGATTATATACAGTGCATTGTTTGTTCAGTACAAAGCATACTAGATCGCCCAATACCACATTCAGGTTCATTTTGTGTAATCGAAACTTATAACAAGAATATTTTGTCTTTCAGACAGCTAGTTTTTTTGATACGTTAAACGTATAGCGCACCAATAATGACCGTCTGTCTTCGCTACACCATGAATTATCCAGAACAGTTCTAATTAATTTAATTTATTGATTGCTTGGTTAACATTTATAATGTCAAGGTAAAAAGTCAGAGTATTTACATTGAAAATTAATAGGGAATAAGATTCATTGCTTATTTAGGTAATATCAGTTTATGAAGAAAGTTGTACTTATCAAAAACAGTTAGTAGAAACTATCGAATAGGTTAGCTTCATCTATAAAAAATAAATAAATATATTGACCTACCTTTTAAGGTCAAATCGTTGTTGTGGACGAAACCAAAATTTTGCTTCCATTCGTTAAGTAAAAAAGGGATATTAATCACTCCGGAAATAAACATACTTTGAGGATAACTTTTTTTTACTTACTAAGACGAGTTGAAGGACTGTTAAAAAATTAGTAAACGTTAGAAAGTTTCGTTTCATTGTTATGACTCTCCGATCTTGTGTTGCCACGATCACAACAGATATCACATTTGATCTCCAGACAGTGTGCTATGGAAGGCATCTTTAAATCACTTATTTAGAATCCCCATAAAATCAGGAATATTCTGTGACTCAGTTGTTGTTAACAGTGACACCTATAACGATTCAGATTTGGCTGAAATTTACCTCCTGTGGCTTTTCCTTATGTTTCCCAGAGAAAGCAACCTTAATAATCTACTTAGTTTAACAGGCTGTTTTGAGTTAGAATAATGTATATAAAAAATTAACAATTTCGGATTCTGAGAAAAGACATCTACGTGCCAAAAAAAATACATAGGAAGAACCAAGAGAAGAGTACATGTTCACATTTCGAAGTACGTTCCAAAGAAATTGAGACTGCGAGGAACAAGGGCTCTTAAGAATGCAATAGCTCGGCATTTACTTGACACCGGGCATACCATTGACCTTCCTCATGTTTTTACAATTATTAGAAAACAAGTATTGTTTCTCTCCGTTTTGCTGAAGCGATCGCGATAAAAACTCAAACATGATCTAAGTATTCAAAAAGAGACAGTAATAAACTTATTAATACCCTAGTAATTCAGTTTTGCTCATTAGTTTTATTTTGTTAATGTTTAGTTTGTTATATTTCTCTTCCATTACCGAATTTTTAAACAACCACTTCATCCATACATTTTCACTCACTCGATTCTTTTAAATTGTAAACTCTTCAAATCCTATTTAATTGTTACGTAAGCCATCTTGCCAGTTTCTAATTCCATGAATCTTATGTAACCCCTTCACTACC